GTCCCTTCCACCAACAGAAGTTGGTCTAATAAAAGATTTTATGTCACTTATCTTCTCTCTCAGAATCAATCAGTCAGTCAGTCAGTCAGTCAAGCCACCAAACAAAGATCAGTATTATCTGAGTAAAGACACATTTTACAGGCTCAGTTCCGCAAGCTATCTGTGTAATTGGAATTCCAATTCAGGAAAGCCTGTAGAATCACTGTGTCTGTAGTTTTCCTACTGACTTCAATAGGCTTTGGATCAGGTAATTAGTTACCAGTAACAACAGGCTTCCCAAACATATGGTATCATGCAGATGCAGAAATAATAATAAAATCTTTGTTTAATAATTAAATATGCAACGATAGTTTAAGATTTGTAGGAAAGTAAGCGTATGAATATAACATCCAAATGGAAACATATCCGTGTGATCCAAAAGTCTTTAATTAAAGTCTTATAGAGCTAGTACCTTTCTTGCCAATGAAAGCAACATTTCATCTGAGAACATTTTGAAGTCTGTGTACTTCCCTATAGAACGGCGGTAGATGTGATTATTGAGAACAGTGTAATGAACAATAGCACCTCTTGTTTGCCCAAACCTTGTTGGGACTTCATGAAGCATCCGCTGAAGGTTGATGGTGGGAAAAGAAGTGAAGTCCTTAGTAACTTGAGGCTCCTGGGATGGACAAGAGAGAATATTCTGCCAGGTCTGAGAATCTTCTTCTGGACACTCACAATACTCATGATAAACAGGCCCTGTGGTAAACAAAGCAATGAACATCTGACATCTGTGATAACGTCAGCTCACAATGCCCTAGATTCCTGATGCATACAAAAATTTAAAACTAGAGCTGATGAAGTCTTTGGGGGTTTTTATTGAATTGTATTAATTTAATTTATTTATTTATTAAAAGGACCATTTTTGTAAACAAATATTTTCTTGGAAAATTTTCTCTCTCTGAATTTTTTGATGAAAAAATAAAAGCGACTCTTTTTTCTTTTTAGAAACCTAAAACAACTAATCACCAAAACATTTTATTTTGTCCAAAAGCCAAAAAAAGCCCCTCAATTTATTTTTTTTATTTTCATGGAAAATATTTACCATTTTTCAATCATCTCTACTAAAAAAGACAAAGTTGTGTATCAATATCATGCTATCTTTCACTGAGCCAGAATTCCTACAACTATTTGAAACAAACATCAATAATATTAGTCAGCTGTACAGTTTCATTTATCAGCATTATAACCTTTATTTAGAACTTTATAGTGTCACAATATTTATATTTAGTATGAGGTGCTTTCTTGTGTGTAATTAATCATGTAATTACATGTAATCTGTCTGTCCTTTTTGATCAGAGTGGATTAATATACTGCAATAAGACTTAAGCATTTAAGAAAACTTTATCCTATGAACTTCTAGCAAAAACTAGTACCATATTCTGTCATAGTGACTATGTAAGTATGCTCCAGCATCAACACCCTGGCTACTGTCTTGCTGAAGTTGCCATATCATCCCTACCAGTCAACTTCACTTAACATCCATAATTTTTCAAAACTTTTCAATCTTGCATCAACAGTTTCTACTATGGTATCAATCTATTATCCCATCCCTGCTGTCCTTGGCTACGGTTCTGTCTTATGCAGGTGAACAGTAGAAGAAGCATGAAGTTTGCTTTCATTTTTGCTGCTCCAAACCATTTTGAACTAATCCTTCAATATACTGCTTTTAAATCTCATCTTAAAACCATTTTTTATTGTTTTGAAGTGTTTTATAAGAAAGCGTGTATAGAATGGCATACAAAAACAAAACTCTGATCTGGAGAAGGAAA